TACCAACAGCGGCGGCTTTTGGAGGGATTTGCATTGGTGCATTGACTGTCTTGGCAGATTTCATGGGAGCAATTGGCTCAGGAACTGGAATATTGCTTGCCGTAACGATAATTTATCAGTACTTCGAGACTTTCGAGAAGGAGAAAGCCAGTGAACTTGGCTTCTTTGGTTTTTAAGCGCTTGTTATCCGTTATAGGGAACTATAGGTGGTGCCATTGCAAGTCATGACAATTTTGGTAAAAAATTCGAATGTGTTAAGTAGGTTCCACCTTTTTAACACCACGCGATAGGGATTTCGATGAAGAATGTAGTTAAACGATTTGTACTCGCTTTGTTTTTTCCTTTACAAACTTACTTGTGCATGTCAGACAAGACGCTGAAGCAGAGAAACAGTTCTATTTACAAGTGAAACTGGAAACCTTGTGTTCGTTATTTCCTGCCTTGCAATGGTTACTTTAACAGCATGGCTCTGGAAATGACAGTGCCATTTTCTTGGGCGCTACGGAAAACATTAGATTAGTCTATCAGTGTTCTCGAGATTGTCTCCTTTTGTTTTACATTTTTTTTATTAATTTTTTAATATTCAATAATCATAATAAATTTTAATTAATTTAAAATTATGTCACATCAAATTTTATTAAATTTTTTTTAATATTTATTTTTTTATTTATAAAATTTAAACTAAAAATTTTGAATTTTTTTGCCTTGATATTAATAAATCGTTGGTTCATGCAGTGAGCGAACAATTCTTTCGCTTTATACAATTTTTTTCTTTGAACTAGTACAATTGGAGCATTGTCAACATTGTAATTGGAGATTAAAAATAATAATTACTAAAGTTTGAATTTTAAACTTCTAAATGTCATAACTCTTCTGAAAAGAGTTGTGACAGGGAAGTCCCAATGATGGTTGGCTCTTTTGTTTTCCTTGTACGAGTTTCAATGGCTAAATCAGAAACTATACAGTGCTTGTGATTTGCCATAGCATGAAACAGTTAAAGCATAGTGTTTTCTGAACTACGATGACTACGCTACAGGAATTCTCGTGTTGGCATTGTATAGCTTTTCAAGCGATTCACATGGAATGCTTCAAGATAAATCTGACTTTCAATCTTTCATCCAGTGAAGCACACAACGCTTGATTTATTTCCTTCATTTGTGGGCAGACACGTCTTCAACCTCACCCCCAAGTAACGATATCATGACAAACATCTTCACAAGCACTTTCCCGTTTCTACCATTAAGAGGTGCTGCTCTTTCTCTCCAACTATTCTCTGCTTCAGTTATCATCTTGCTTTTTGGCATCGCTTGCCAACAAGGGGGGCAGTCA